AGCTATCAGATCCATTAAATAGATCAAACATTTCAAAGGAATAGCGTTAAGAACTATTTGTGACGTTTGGCACGAAATAATGTATCATGACCCGACTTAAGTAGTAGACAAATGGCGACAATAGTGCAGAAATATATAACATTGGCATGCCTGTATATGGAGTTGCATGGAATAAAAAGTTGAATACATATCGAATAAAGGAAAGAAAACAGTATCATCTGTTCATCACTAATAGATTATCTATCCAAAAAATTACTGTTAAAACTCAAGTAACAAATTCCGATGTGATCATCTTGAGCAAGTTTGGCGCGAAGATTTACTCGTGGCGTGTGATGCAAAATTATGAATAGTGACCGCCTTTCATTATTCTAAGACAGATGTACTGTTTCAGAAGTATATACAAGTAGATTTAGAGATGTGGTCCCAATAGCGTAACAGTAAGCGCTTTGTATTTTTCATGCTGGCGACCCGGGTTCAATCCCCTTTGTTTCCATAAAAAGTTTTATCACTTTTTCGGCTCGATTTTGCGGGGTTTTTTTCCAGAATCGGACGGAAGACCTAACGAGTTTCTTTTCTAGCTTTTTCTGAATTTTCTTCTTTGTTCTCCGGTATTTCTTGTCCGCGAGTGTTCTCGTAAACTACTCATCCGATCTAGGTGAAACCTTTTTAGGGTCACTAGGTATGTTATGTATATGTTCGGAACGAAGGTCATTTTGCGCGCACATGCGTGCGTGTGCGCACACGTGTAACACGTGAAATGACCAATATAATAGATATTTTTTTAAATTTTGGAGGAAATGCACTTTATATATTAGTAGTATAGACATGACGACATGGTCAAAATAGCAAGATCTCGCGTGCATGCACGTGCGCTTCGCTCCGATTGGCTGAAACTAAAAGTCTAAATATCTTTTTAGCTCTACTGGTCAGAGACCAGAAGAGCTTATGCGATAGTAATGCGTCCGGCGTCCGTCCGTCTGTCTAAAACAATTTTTCCTTATTATTATTTTTCCGACTTTTTTGTCTATATTGGTTACATAAAACCTTTTTAGGGTCACTAGGCATGTTATGTAGATGTGCGAAACGAAGGTCATTTTGCGCGCACATGCGTGCGTGTGCGCACACGTGTAACACGTGTATCTTGCGTGCATGCACGTGCGCTTCGCTCCGATTGGCTGAAACTAAAAGTCTAAATATCTTTTTAGCTCTACTGGTCAGAGACCAGAAGAGCTTATGCGATAGTTTTTGATTTGAAGGAATAGTGTTGCCGTGGTTACTACAAATAGAAATTTCTTTGAAATTCTTTCAAAATGCTTCTCCTCCTACACTTTTGGTCTAATTTCAATATTACTTGGCACACAAAAAGACTACACTAAGATAGATAATTTTATGTATCGGTTTTTGATACCGATGAATTGTGTTGCCATTGTTACTAAAAATAGAAATTTCTGTGAAATTCTTTCAAAATGCTATGTCTCCAACAGATTTGGTCTGATTTCAATATAACTTGGCACACAAGTAGACTACACTAAGATACATAAGTCTGTGTTCCGGTTTTTGATTTCGATGAACAGTGTTGCCGTTGTTACTAAAAATAGAAATTTCTGTGAAATTCTTCCAAATGCTATGTCTCCTACAGTTCTGGTATGATTTCAATTTAACTTGGCACACAAGTAGACTACACTAAGATACATAATTCTGTTTATCGGTTTTTGATTTTCATGAATGGTATTGCCTTGGTTACTAAAAATAGAAAATTTCTGTGAAATTCTGTCAAAATGCTATGTCTCCTATAGTTTTGGTTTGATTTCAATATAACTTGGCCCACAAGTAGACTACACTAAGATACACAATTCTGTGTATTGGTTTCTGACTGATGAACATTATTGCTTTGGTTACTAAAAATAGAAATTTCTGTTAATACTCTCAAAATGCTACTCCAGTTACAGTAGTTTTAGTCTGATAATAATATATAATGTGGTATGCAAATAGACTTCACTGAGAACATAACGAGACTTAATCAAGGATGATTATTCTATTCATTGCTGTTGTCAAGTTTCAATTCCCAACTTAATAAGTACTTTTCTCTTCCTTTGCTATAAGTACAAACCAGTAGAGCTTCAGTCTCGACAGAGACTTCTGGTTTTGTTTTCTGACAAAATCCTTTGAAATTTTGAACATATTCATACACTATGAAGATCTACAGTATGATATATATAAGAATTTTCATGAAAGCATGCGCATGCACGTGTGCTGCAATCTGATTGGCTGAAACTTTAAATGTCTATAACTTTCTAAATTCTCAATGAAACGGGATAAAATTCAGAATATGAATAGGTACAAGAAACATAAATTGACGCAAGCATCAAAAATTGGCCGCAAACCAAATAAATTGTTCCTTTTATGAAGCAACTAAAGACTGAAATGGTGATCTGTTTTTAAATAACTTATATTTATCTGTTAATATTTATCCTCGTGACATTAAACGCTTGTGCATGACATTGCATGACTTTCTTAATTATATAATGCATGTTCAGTATTACATGTATACAGAAAAGTACCCCATGTCCTCTGCGTCAACAAACCGTGGGCCTATATAATTAGAGGCATTTACATTAAAAGTATAAAACTTAAGTTTAATGTAATCTACAACTAGATATGCAGTGTAGTTTTAATCTAGTAAAAACGCAACAAATATGTGGGACTCCTTCCTCTCTCTTAGAGGAAAAAACTAAACTCCCTCTAGATCCACCACGACATTTCTTCTCTTTCTGAGTTGTAGCGGGAAAATTCTTGGCACATTGTAAAATGCGCACTATCCTCGTCTGCTAGGGTAAAATCCTGTAATATTCTGTAGCCTGCTAGGTCTTTTGGTGAATTAACATTTAACCATATTTTTGAAAATGTTTTTATATGTACATGTGTACACGTCATTTTAAAATAAATACGTACAACAAATTCTGTTTAAATAGAGAAAGTAAAATCGTGCAATATACATAACGCGGTGTTTGCTTTAGACTATGCCAAACATGTCCCAATTTTCTCCGCACCTCAAACATGTCAAAGTTTCTCAATCAGGATTGGATGAAATATTTACCTCATTCTTTATAAAAAATTTTAATGTTATGTTTATTGTGCGCTCTTGTAAAACATTTAGACGCTCTTTTTAATCTACTATTATATTAATGTTAAATATTTTTTATTTAAATTGTTCTAACTTCGCAGAAACGCACAGCGACTTCAAACTTTCATATCATATAACCGACCGCCTCCTGGCGGCCGGTAATAATGGATTCCTACATTATGCTACTAGCAAAAGTAAATGCAAGGACGTGCGTGCACATGCGCCCGCACACAATGCATTAAACGACAGTATACTTGAGTTGTTGGTCTTCATGCAGAATTAAGAACTTCTAAATGCCAAGACATGTAACATACTGAAGCATGCAGATCTTTTGACCCTTGACCTTGAAACTTAGGTCAAGGTCACTGGTAAACTGAATAAAATGTTGATATTGGCTATTTACCAAAATAACCTTGACCTATGAACTTGAAATCGACCTTAACCTTTGTCCTTGACCCAAGGGTAAAAAGAAACATGAAGTACATGTACATGTATCTAGAAACACCTTTCAGAGTTTATTTCGGTTGACAGGATAGAAGTTAAAGAGGTGGTGGTTTCTAATGACCTTGACCTTTCATCCAAATGTCACAATCAATCTCAAATTCTTGGAGTAAGATACAAGATTCAACTCCAACGTTAAACAGGTTAAGAATAAAAATACCCCCCCCCTCCCCCCGCAACAACCAAACAAATCAAATTAAAGGCAACATAGAGAATCGCTGTTAAACTCAAATAACACCTCGGACCCACATAAAATTTCAGGAAAACTGCAGAAAAGAGCTCGAGGAAAGTGTGTGAAAATATTTGATTTGAGTTTCCAAAGTATATAGAAATTATTAATTTATGCGGAAAAAATTACAAATCCTGTCGTCTTTAAAATTAAAGTGCAGATGAACAAAGTTGGTATATAAGCCTTTTATAGCCTATTAATTCAGATGGCATTGATAGCATTCAATTCTGCTGATTTGAAATAATATTTTAATACCAAGCATGCTCTGTTTATTTTACCTTTGAAATTTATTTGAATTTTTTTTAGAATTACACAATCCCCAGAAATAGCGATTTTCGGAATATAAAAAATCAATATACATGTACGCTCCTTCGTAAAATAATCAGGTATTTGCATTCATGAAAAAATATTAATAAGAATGTGTTAAACAATATTGGTCTCATTAGCTGACACGAATGCCTTTTTAAACATCTCTTGTAAACCCCAGAAAGTAGCCCCCTATGCATTAAAAAAATGAATAGTTCCGGTCAAAAACCTTTATATATTTATTTACAAAATATATAAAATTTACTAGACACAGGTACCAGAGTTGTCAAAATGGCTTGAGAGGAAATATAAAAAGAATTCTGAACAGAAAGGAAAATCCCTTTTCCATGTATGGAACTACTATTGAATAAGTTCATTTTGATTGGTTAGCAATCGGCGTTATACCCTTAGTCGAATTTAACCCTGCCTTGCGTCGGAATAAAACCAACTTTGAGCCCGAGGTTAAAATAAGTAGAAAAATAAAATCTGAATCGATATATTAAAAAAATGACAAATGCTTGAAAAATGGTAATTTTATATATGTATTTTTTTCTTTGATTCGTGGGATAGAAAGATATGTTGAACGGTTAACCAACATGCCATATTCATCCTGCATATGCATGTACAAAACGTTAAACGATATATATTTGATATCATTGTAACTTTTATATTCTTCAATGAAATCCTTGGATACTTAGCATATTGATAAAAGGTCTTAGAGGAATAAGGCACGAAAAGGGACATGGGGAGCGTTTGGGGAACATCTGTAACGGTCCCCGTTACAATTAGCACTAGTTCAATTTATATTGCATGACTGAAGTTTTGTTTAATCACCCCTAGGGATACTTTGACATCATTGAGCATCCCATGGATCTATCCACCATGAAGAAGAGACTATTGAGAGACCAGTACTCCAACCCTAACAGTCTGTTTAAAGACTTCAGACTTATAATATCGAACTCCAGGACATTCAATACCAATAAAGACTCGAGGGTAAGACAGATCAAAACATAATCTTAATAACATTGGGTATTAAGAATGTTGTAATTTATTCTCTGTAAACTAGAATATATCTTTTGTCTATATATTGTTTAAATCTGACCTTGACTTTGTCTACATGATTTGTAGGTACATGTTTGTGTTTTGGCATTGAGATTATTTTAACTTGACTTTTTGTATACAGTATAAAGGTTACATGTATTTTCAAACCGTGTTATTTTCACCCTGTTACACTTGCTTCAAAAAGTTTCTGTTTAAGAATTCATACTGTGTTCTTCGAATTTGCCCAGTTTTAAATTCAACCACTTTTGACAAGGGCGAAAGGGGCAAAAATAAAACTGGGACAAAAATTCGATGTATACAGAATTTGCCATAATTTTAAAGTTATCCGACCTTGCCGTTGGAGATGTATGCCATGACAATTAAATTATTTGACCTTGACTTTGTAGATAAATGCCATGACCTTGAGATTATCAGACCTTGACTTTGTAGATATATGCTATGACCTTGAGATTATCGGCCCTGATTGAGGAGAAAATGAAGGACATAATCAGTGGGTGGAATTCGGCTGTCAAACAGAAGAAGAGCTCACCTCGTCTCTCCCAGAGTAACTACAGCTCCAAGACAGAAAGGTCAGTGTAGACTTCCCAGAGGTCAGCTAATCTGTAATCAGTTTGCTGGAAATGCAATATGGGCAAAGGTTGCTATTAATTACAAGACAGAAAGGTCAATGTAGGCTCCCAAAGTCAGGTAATCTGTAATCAGTTTGCTGGAAAAGCAATATAGGCAAAAGTTTCAATTAAATATTGTAGTTATTATGGTTATAGGGATAAACCACAAAGAAATTAAGAGACTGAGAGCTGTCAGTTCTTTTCCTTTCCTTCCCTTAATCATCCTATCAGATGTTGTTAAGACTGTGTTCGTTTATGATAATTAAGTAGCACTTTTTGAACCCGTCATTTCTTGCACATTGTGAAACTGAACAAAAGTATTAAAACACTTTCTGGTGAATGACAAAGAACCATTGCTGTTAGATCTCTTCAAATGAGAAATTCTATTGAATCAACCAGCACATGGAGAAAGTCAGCACCACCAGTCAATAAAACCCCTGACTCCTGGAAATCCGAGTGCCTTAATCTTCTGGAGTCCGTATTCCAGTGTGAGGATTCTAGTCCATTCAGATTCCCAGTCGATCCAGACGAAATCCCGGTAAGCTTGAAACATTTGAAGACTTATTCTTTAAAAATGTCAAAAAAGGATCGATTGACAAAGTAAAAATTTTCCTCTAATTCAATTTACATTGCATAATTGAAGTTTTGTTTAATCACCCCTAGGGATACTTTGACATCATTGAGCATCCCATGGATCTATCCACCATGAAGAAGAGACTATTGAGAGACCAGTACTCCAACCCTAACAGTCTGTTTAAAGACTTCAGACTTATATTATCTAACTCCAGGACATTCAATACCAATAAAGACTCGAGGGTAAGACAGATCAAACCATAATCTTAATAACATTGGATATTAAGATGTAATTATACCCCCGCTCTGAAGGAGAGGGGGGTATACTGTTTTACCCTTGTGTGTCTGTCCGTCTGTCCAGCTGTCCGTCTGTCTGTCTAGCTGTGTGTCCGTTCGAAACAAATTTTCGTCACAGTTTTCTCAGCAACTACTCATCATAGATGCTTGAAATTTTAACACAATCTTCTCTGAGGCATGCCATATGGTGGGATACATTTTTCCTTAAATCTGAAGTCAACTTCCTGTTTGTCTGTGTGTCTGTCCGTTTCATACATAACAAATTTTCGTCGCAGTTTTCTCAGCAACTACTCATCGTAGATGCTTGAAATTTTAGCACAGTTTTCTCTGAGGCATTCCATTTGGTGGGATACATTTTTGTTTAAATCCGATGTCAACTTCCTGTTTTCTGTGCGTCTGTCTATTTCATACATAACAAATTTTCGTCACAGTTTTCTCAGCACTCAACATAGATGCTTGAAGTTTTATCATAATCTTCTCTGAGGCATGCCATTTGGTGGGATACATTTTTGCTCAAACCCGATGTCAACTTCTTGTTTGTGTGTGCGTCTGTCCATTTCATACATAACAAATTTTCGTCACAGTTTTCTCAGCAACTACTCAACTTAGATGATTGAAATTTTAACACAAACTTCTCTGATGCATGTTAATGATGGGATACATTTTTGTTTAAATCCAATGTCAACTTCCTGTTTGTCTGTGCGTCTATCTGTTTCATACATAACAAATTTTCGTCACAGTTTTCTCAGCAACTACTCAGTGTAGATGCTTGAAATTTTAACGCAATCTTCTCTGAGGCATACCATATGGTGGGATACATTTTTGTTTAAATCCAATGTCAACTTCCTGTTTGTCTGTGCCTCTGTCCGTTTCATACATAACAAATTTTCGTCAGTTTTCTCAGCAACTACTCATCACAGATGATTGAAATTTTAACACAATCTTCTCAGAGGCATGCCATATGGTGGGATACATTTTTTTTAAATCCGATATCAAATTCCTGTTTGTCTATGCGTCTGTCTGTTTCATACATGACAAATTTTTGTAGCAGTTTTCTCATTAGCTATTCATAGCAGATGCTTGAAATTTTATTACCGACTTTGTTGATGCATGCCATATGGTGAGTTTAATTTTGATATGAATCTGATGTCAACTTCATCTGCCTGTATTTGAACTTGTGTAAACAGTATATTAACATGATAGTGCTTATTTACATCAGAGCAGGGGTATTACTAGTGAGCATTGGCTCACAGATTTCTTGTTTATTCTCTGTAAACTAGAATATATCTTTTGTCTATATATTGTTTAAATCTGACCTTGACTTTGTCTACATGATTTGTAGGTATATGTATGTTTTTTGGCATTGAGATTATTTTAACTTGACTTTTTGTATACTGTATAAAGGTAATTTTCAGACTGTGTTATTTTCGCCCTTTAAAACTTCCTAATAAATTTTCCCTGTTTAAAATTTGCACAGTCCCAGTTCTGTTTAAGAATTCATACTGTGTTCTTTGAATTTGTCCAGTTTTAAATTCGCCCACTTTTGACAAGGGCGAAAGTGGTGAAAATAAAACTGGGACAAAAATTCCCTTGTATACAGTATTTGCCATAACTTTGAAGTTATCCGACTTTGGCTTTGGAGATGTATTCCAAAACATTGATATTTACTGACCTTGACCTCATAGATATATGCCTTGACCTTGAGATTATTTGACCTTGACTTTGTAGATATATGCCATGACCTTGAGATCTGACCTTGACTTTGTAGATATATGCCATGACCTCAAGATTATCAGCCCTGATTGAGGAGAAAATGAAGGAAATAATCAATGGGTGGAACTCAGCTGTCAAACAAAAGAGCTCAATGTGTCTCTCCCAGAGTACTTACAGCTCCAAAACAGAAAGGTCAGTGTAGACTTCCCAGAGGTCAGCTAATCTGTAATCAGTTTGCTGGAAATGCAAAATGGGCAAAGGTTGCTAATAATTACAAGACAGAAAGGTCAATGTAGGCTTCCCAGAGGTCAGCTAATCTGTAATCAGTTTGCTGGAAATGCAATATGGGCAAAGGTTGCTAATAATTACAAGACAGAAAGGTCATTGTAGACTTCCCAGAGGTCAGCTAATCTGTAATCAGTTTGCTGGAAATGAAATATGGGCAAAGGTTGCTAATAAAGTTTCAGTTAAATATTGTAGTTATTATGGTTATAGGGATAAACCACAAAGAAATTAAGAGACTGAGAGCTGTCAGTTCTTTTCCTTTCCTTCCCTTAATCACCTCATCACATGTTGTTAGGACTGTGTTCGTTTATGATAATTATGTAGCCCTTTTTGAACCCGTCATTTCTTGCACATTGTGAAACTGAACAAAAGTATTAAAACACTTTCTGGTGAATGACAAAGAACCATTGCTATTAGATCTCTTCAAATGAGAAATTCTATTGAATCAACCAGCACATGGAGAAAGTCAGCATCACCAGTCAATAAAACACTGGACTCCTGGAAATCCGAGTGCCTTAATCTTCTGGAGTCCATATTCCAGTGTGAGGATTCTGGTCCATTCAGATTCCCAGTAGATCCAGACGCATTACCGGTAAGCTTGAAACATTTAAAGATCCATTCTTTAAAATTGTCAAAAAAGGATCGATTGACAAAGTAAAAATTTTCCTCTAACTCAATTTATATTGCATGATTGAAGTTTTGTTTAATCACCCCTAGGGATACTTTGACATCATTGACCATCCCATGGATCTGTCCACCTTGAAGAAGAGACTATTGGGAGACAAGTACTCCAACCCTTACAGTCTGTTTAAAGACTTCAGACTTATAATATCGAACTCCAGGACATTCAATACCAATAAAGACTCGAGGGTAAGACAGATCAAACCATAATCTTAATAACGTTGGGTATTAAGATGTAATTTATTCTCTGTAAACTAGAATATATCTTTTGTCTATATATTGTTGAAATCTGTCCTTGACTTTGTCTACATGATCTGTAGGTACATGTTTTGGCATTGAGATAATATTTGAACTTGACTTTGTGTATACTGTATAAAGATAATTTTCAGACCGTGTTATTTTCGCCCTTTTACACTTAATTCCTAATATTTTCCCTGTTTTAAATTTGCACAGTCCCAGTTCTGTTTAAGAGTTTATACTGTGTTCTTTGAATTGCCCAGTTTTAAATTCGCCCACTTTTGACAAGGGTGAAAGGGGTGAAAATAAAACTGGGACAAAAATTCCCTTGTATACAGTATTTGCCATAACTTTGAAGTTATCCGACCTTAGCTTTGGAGATGTATGCCATAACATTGATATTTACTGACCTTGACCTCATAGATATAATATATTATATTATGCCATGGCCTTCAGATTATTTGACGTTGACTTCATAGATATATGCCATGACCTTGAGATCTGACCTTGACTTTGTAGATATATGCCATGACCTCAAGATTATCAGCCCTGATTGAGGAGAAAATGAAGGAAATAATCAATGGGTGGAACTCAGCTGTCAAACAAAAGAGCTCGATGTGTCTCTCCCAGAGTAATTACAGCTCCAAAACAGAAAGGTCAGTGTAGACTTCCCAGAGGTCAGCTAATCTGTAATCAGTTTGCTGGAAATGCATTATGGGCAAAGGTTGCTAATAATTACAAGACAGAAAGGTCAGTGTAGACTTCCAAGAGGTCAGCTAATCTGTAATCAGTTTGCTGGAAATGCAAAATGGGCAAAGGTTGCTAATAATTACAAGACAGAAAGGTCAGTATAGACTTCCCAGAGGTCAGCTAATCTGTAATCAGTTTGCTGGAAATGCAATATGGGCAAAAGTTTCAATTAAATATTGTAGTTATTATGGTTATAGGGATAAACCACAAAGAAATTAAGAGACTGAGAGCTGTCAGTTCTTTTCCTTTCCTTCCCTTAATCACCTCATCACATGTTGTTAGGACTGTGTTCGTTTATGATAATTATGTAGCCCTTTTTGAACCCGTCATTTCTTGCACATTGTGAAACTGAACAAAAGTATTAAAACACTTTCTGGTGAATGACAAAGAACCATTGCTGTTAGCCCTCTTCAAATGAGAAATTCTATTGAATCA